TCCCCACCACCATCATCCTGTATCCTAGCGAGGGGGCTAGGGAGAGGTCTGGTGACAGTGTGTTGAATTTGGATGACAGGCCCAAGGGGGAGTGGACACCCACCCACCCCCCATCCCTTAGATAATCCGCAGGATAAAGGAGCTGCATTTAGGGTGTGATACGCTTAATCCTGGGGGGCCTTGTTCACAAAAGATCCCAGCTTTTCCTCTGGCCTGGGAGCTTCCGCTGGTCCGGGGGGGGGGCTGGCGTGGGTGCCAGTATAAACATGCTCCAATAATACATGTCCGCATTACAATGGAACAAACAACAGACATATAGACAAACACACAGACATGCAATGGTGGACAGAAGAGTGAGCATGGGAGACTCAAAAAAAACTTTGTAAATTCACACTGTCTTTATGGAGAGCCAATCCAAATAAGCACAGAAGGGCCAGCAAGTGTATACACACACCATACTGTGAGCAGAGGCGGTGATTACATTCTGCCTAAAGTTCAATGATACAAATCTTGCATGTACCATAGAAAGATAAGCTCAGTGAAGGATAGAAATAGAGAGAGATCAAACAGCTCACTGCCTACAGAGAGTTTCATATTTATAAACAGATGACAAAGTCATGTAATAGTCCCTTCAGATGCTACACGGAGTCATGGTTTACCCTTACAGTATACACAGTAGATGTGATCAGAGGATGCTGGTGGATGACGCATAAGCTCCCACTTTATCCCCTGGCAGCATTTGTGTTCCTACCACTGGGGAAAATGAATATTCAAAAAAGATATAATCTGCAAAATTGTTCTTTTCCTAAATTATATTTTCTAAAACATATTTTTTTTAACCACAAAAGCAGATAATATACACTAAGGCAGCATTAGAGACCAAATAAAGGATATTATTCCATATTTCTCTGATTTCACATGCAACTTTGGATTACATGTTTGGAAAAATGGGAAACCTCAGCCTGATTTTCTGACTTACTTTTCCTTCCCACAGCATTTCAATCTGACACATCCTCTTTCCACTGTGGGCTCTCCTGGCACTGAAAATGCTACTGCAGACAGCAGCACATAGACTTAATAAGAAAGGTTTTGTTACTGAACGGAATGAGGCAAGTGATTTGCTACAGAGGTTAATAGTTTTTGAGGGACTGGATCTTTGTACAAGCACAAAATAGCAAAGAATATATCGATATTGGCAAGTGTTAGATATATTTTGGACGGGAAAGCACTACGCATTTTGTATTCTTCATTGATTTTACCATACTTAGAGTATGGCATTGAAAACTGGGGAAATACATACAAAAAAGAGCGATAAGAATTGTGCATAAGATGGGGTGTAGGGATCACACCAATGGAGCTTTCATACACTCTAAATTGTTAAATTTTTTTTTTAAGTGTAGACATAAAAAATAGTACTAGAATTGATGAGTTTAAACATAAATATAAAGGTATGTGTCAATCAAGATATATGCAAGAACAGGTTTAATGATTAATTAGATGGAACATTGTGGGTGTGGTGTATGAATGTTAACACTCTGTAATAATTCTTTAGTATATTACTTGTGTGGTGTAGAAGATAAGTATTTAAGAATGTAATTATGTAAGAATGTTAACACTCTGTTATAATTTTTTAGTATATTACTTGTGTGGTGTAGAACAAAATTATCTATGTAGAGATACTGCTTGCAAACCAGTGATGGTAAGATGATGTCATGGGGTAGGACTAGATAAGTCTGACTTCTTCCTACTCCATTCAAGCATGTACTAGGTATAAGCAAATTGATATTGGATTAGCATTTGTTGGATATGTATGTGTAAAATTATGTGTGTTGATATATCAACTGTCTTTACATGCTTGAAAGAATAAATCAATCAAATCAAATCAAATCAATGAAGGTATTTTAAAAAACTAATATTTGCTTGAGCCTAAACTGACATTTAAATTGCTGTCACTGCTTACATAACAAAAGACACTTCAACATACAAATCATTAACATTTTGAGGACATTTTAACATATTTACAGTGTGAAAGTTTTGGTATAAAGGAGTACATCTTACTCCCTTCTCAGCTTTTAGAAAGTTTTTTATTTTCCAGTGTGACAACCTCCACCCATTTCGCAAGAAACAAAGTGTAAAATAACCCAGAAAGAGTATTTAAACCTCTTCTGTGACTCAGGTCTGACATGAAGATGAATCCTTCACCCCAGGCCCTTTAATTCTCTGAATCCTGACCTTTGGCTGGATGTTTTTTCAGCAACAGTGCATACATAGTCAGCACAGACCTCATACTTAATAAGAATTATGAGCAGTGATACAATTCTTTATCTGACTAACGTCCAAACCCTGCCAAGCTGTGTCTTGCAGCATTGGGGACTCATTGTGAAACAACCGACTGGTCCAGACCACTTATTTATAAAGAAAGAGCTCCACCACAGCACTGGCACATGTGTTGTCCACCAAGACTAACTACTCGTGACAGTGCCAGGAGTGTGTGTGTGCACATTAAGCTCAGGGGAAAGCATGCCTAATGTGGGAGAGAAACCATGAATTCAACATGGTCACAAGCTAGCATCAGTGTTCCCTTTTGGGGGAATAACCTGTCAATCCATTCTAATTCCTGAAGACACAGGCTCCTCTTATATACAGGTTGAGTTTATACTAGAGAGACTGACTCTCTCAAATGTTTTCTCAGGATCAGGTGCAGACAGGCAGGCTGGCTGAATGTGTGACAGGATAGGCTGCTCAAATACAAGTGTAGTCCAAGGTCAAGGTGACACTTACCACCCTGTAACTCTAACCACCAACTACTTTGTCCAGCAACTAAAAGAAAAAACACCCTGAGGAGCAGCGCGTTTATCCACTTGGCTACAAAAAAACCAGTGTGAGCAGGCTCAGATCTGTGTACCTGAAGGCTTATAGGTGCAGATCACAGCAGAAAAAGTGGCAGTAGAACCATCATAAATGACATGTTTAACGTCCCTTTCAAACTTCAGGCCATTGTTGTCACTTGTTTGAGAGTGTGGTACTGATCGAACATCACATCCAGACAAACTACTGTCACCATTCATGGGATTTTTTTTGTATTATGTGGACACCTAGCATGAATTTCTACTATTATCAAACATTTTCTTGACTGATTTTCCAAATTTACTACATCATGATATACTGTCATCGCAATAAAATAACCCCGTGAAAGTGTACTATATGCTGTATATCACCTACTCCTAACAGTCCACTGTAACAATGGATGGTAAGACAAAAGTCAACTTTTGATAGTAAAGAAAATGGTTAACAAAGGTTAATGTTTACATTCAGTGTTACTCATCAAGTAAGTTGGTATGCATAAGGTTTAACAAACACAAATGCATTTCCTTCCTCAAGTTTGAAACTTGCATTTTTACAGTCATGTTTACTAGCTTGCCATCTTCTTCTTCACTGCTTTTGTTAGCACATTAGCTTGTTTTGTGACACATTATTACCACCCTTAATCACAGCAACTACGTGAAACCATTTGATGCAATATGTTTCACATTAACCATACGTTGTTGAGAGCAAACAGAATGTACTGCACTTTAAAACATTGCTCCATAGCTATGATAGTGATTCACATGGAATCTTTAATTTGAAACTTATTAAAACGGGATTTTAACTTAGTGTCCATCTTTTTCATATAATTTCAAAGTGAATTTATCAGCAAAGGACATCATATATTTGAGAACCTCATGCTGACTGAGAGTGATGCCTGTGTGTTCAGAGTTGGGTGCACCTCCTAAATAGTGCAGATTTGGTTCAAAGGGTGAGATAGGGTACATGTTTGAGTCTGAGCACAAAAAAAGGGTACTCCAAATACAACACTTATTCATCTACAGTGCTTTTGGAGCTAGCAATATGACAAGGTTATCTGTTAAATAACTAGGTTAACTAAGTTAAGGTAGTGATACAGAGGCAGCTGTATCTGTGATGGCACTCAGACATCTAATGCCCAGTACTTTTTAAGTCACCAATTTTTATTAGAACCACCAAAATTTACTGTACCTACTTAACGGAGAAGTAGCATTAACATTCTGCTGCTGCCATACATACAGCATGTCTGTGCTTTTAGACCTGAAGGCCACCTGCTGACACAGGACATTCTTGGCTCAGCCTTGCTTTTACTATTGGCACTCTGTTTGAGGGCAAGAGGCTATTCGCTTTTGTTGTCTTTCAGCTCATACTGTATATCTAACATCTGTTGGTTGGCCCAGTTCAATAAGCACTTGTCTCTGGTGCATGTTTTTGGGAGACATAAGCTTATGTGTACAAATGTACACAGTTTGTGCCAGCAAGAGGAGTACTGAAGTTCCCAAAATCCTGCTGCCTGTGGATTCAAGGTTGTATTACACAATTAGCATAAAAAAGAAAGCCACAAAGTCCAGGCAAGGAATATGCAAAACCTTTATTTGCTTTAACCAAAAAATAACAGTGTCAATCGTTAAACAAAAAGCAAATAAAGCTATAAATATAACAGGTAAGCACATTAAAAGCAGGGTGTTCTTGCATCACATAAACCCAGTGATAAAAACCATTACAATATTGTTGTATAGTCTCAGCTCGAGGTTTCGTGCAAAGTAAAGCAACTGAAAACCACCTTCAAAAGGTCACCGGACATTCAAAGGAGAACATGCTCTTCATGTCCCAACCCATGTCAGCTCAGAGAAGAGCAGCCACCTGAGTGCAGAAACACTCTTTAACAATATTTTTTACTTAAGCATATAGAATCAGGAAAGGCACACACACAAAAAAAAAAAAAAAAAAAATCAAAGAAGTGATGTAACATTAAACGTACAGGTCCTTGTAAGGAGTCAAATCAAACAAAATGATGAACAAGAGCTAAACTGAAAATGAATTCTGCAGAATAACTTAAAAACCAAATGCAAATGAGACATCTCTGATGCATGAGGCAAGTGTGTGAATGGGTGCACACATACAGTCGATGGTGAATGGCTGCTGCATTATTTCAGTCTGTGTAGGGCTAAACATGGTGAGAATACAGGGGGCAAAGCAGCAGAAAGCACTTTCACTGACAGTGAGGAGACAGAAACAGACAGACACTGCTGGGACACTGCTTCATTAGAAAGGAGCAGTGGTGTGAAGCTGTATGTTCAGGCGCGATATAGCACGATCCTTTCGGCACACTCCTGGCCGACCAAGCTGGCATACTGCTGCACCTCCCTCTCCTCGCTGGAGCCCTTGCGTTTGCGGACATAGACTGCATAGGGCATGACAGTACGTTTGTATAGTACCAGCACTCTGCCCACATCCTTCAGCACCCGAGCATCTCCTGGGCAGAAACAGGCACACATGAGAATATGATAAAGACCAGTGTAGACACATTAAGCAAAATAAACACCGTCCTTATTTCCCCACTTAAGCTGATCTCTGGGTGACTTGGTAGGAATACACCATTGCTCCGAGAAGCTGTTGGGGGAGCAGAAGGCACTTTCTCCCAAAGCACAATTTTCCTTTTGCCCTAAACCTGAGCTCTTAATGGTGAGTGAGGCTAGTTAGCTTGCTCCCTGCTGGGTTGCCAATCTTAGCATCCCATTAGGTCCTGTGTCATACACTGCCAGCTCCCATCAGTCCAGTGAAAACACAGCTGATCTCAAAAGTGTGCATGTTCAGCAGCTAAGATCGGTCCTCCGAGGGGTCAGATGAAAAAAAAAGTGTAAAAAAAGGTGCCCCTCATTCTGACAGTAAAACCACCCACAGGACTGAAAGGACATGCAAGAGGTAGCACAGCAGGAAGTCCCAGCTGAGTGCTAATCATCTTGCCACTCCAGAACTGGAATTTTCTGTCAGTCACATCACCCTCTCTAGTCACTCAAACTGCCCTTAAAATCCTTTTATCTCTCTCCTTAGTTCTAGAAGCATTCTGCTTTTTCTCCCTTTGCAGAATGTCTAACTATTAAATTTGAATTATGACTTCAAAAATGCACATCCCCTACAATATTTTATCCAGTCAGCCTGTCCTATCTGGAGCAATCACAGCTTGGCCCAGCTAAGAAAAAGCAGATGAAAATATACTCTAGGCCAGGTTGTGGTGTCCAGGCTCATGGCGACCCATCAGTCAAACAGGAGTGAGTTGGATTTGATATTAATAGCGCTCAAGGCCTCCCACTCGCCACTACCTCTCTGAAAATTACCCATGTGGCTTGCAGCTGAGGTGCTATGAATGACATGAGCACACTTTTTTTTGCCTTAACACAGTCAAACAGAAAAACAAGAAAGCAGAGAGAAAAACTGCTTAGCTGTGTCACAAACACAGGTCTTCTCTCCTTTGGCAGATGTTAAAAGGGATTCCTCCATTTTCAAGGCTACTCATCTGATCACTCTCTTTCAGTGTTTGAGAGTATGACGCTGGAGGAGCAGCTGCACTGTGCGCTCCGACTGCCTCGACTGGGACCGGATGTGATCAGAAGCTTACTTAGAGCAATATAAGTGAACCGGCCTTGCTGCTCCAATCAGTTAAAATGCCTCAGGCCTTAAGAATCATTGGAACAGAAAATGATTAAATCAGTATTGCAGCCCCACAGGCAGTCACATAATTTGTGAATACTGTATATGCAAGTCAGCGTCTCAACTATTCATGCTCCCTGATTACATCTAACAAGCACAGACAGTACCTGAACAGCAAACCAGAGGAATGAAGAGAAACAAAAGCCCGGGGCTCCTTAGCCCTCACACTCCCATCGCCATGAAGATACTTTTCATATTTCAAGATTTTCAAACCAAACTGTGGATTCATGTTTTATGTATTAGCCTCATTCCCCCTGTTCAGTAATGCCCCAAACCACTGTGTTCTCCCCTTTCTCTAAAAACTGCTGAGTCACATAATTGAAGAAGGCTTGATGTAAACTTTTAAATGGAGAAAACTAGCAGTGTGGGGAAATGGGGTTTCAAAGATGTAAAACTTCACCACCATTTCTATCCATGAAGAATGTATGAATCATTCAGGGATGAAAGTGACTCTGCTTAAAAGTTGGATGCTTCCTTAATAGCTTTTCAGCATCGTCTTCTTGTGTTGTTTGTCACTGTGACAGTTCACTTGCACAACAGTTAAGCAAAGCAACACTTGTCCAGTGTGTGACACTGCTCTAAAGCACCACTGTCCCCTTGTGAAGATACTGCATTTTACAGACTAAAATGGATAGCAGCAAGTAGCTTTAGGATGGTCTATTAACCTCAACAGCAATACTGAGCAAAGGCCCTATCGCTCTCTCTTACTCAATCCAAACATCCGCTCCTCACATAAACAACTTTCCTTTTCTTCTTCACTCATTCAGTTTTCCTTCACTGCCCCCTCCTCCTTTTGAGTAGCTCCAGACCCTGTTCCCGTCAGGGCCACCGGACATTCAGTGACATGCCACGATGAGGTCACAGCTCCACAGGGTCGGGGTTCAAGGGTCGGGGGAAGAGGAGTGGTCAGGTTGGTCAGGGAGTGAGAGGGTCAGGGCTGAGGCTAAGGGCCTTAAAACCTCGCCACGCTCCTCTCTCTCCCTCTCTTCACATAGGTCTCAAACTTAAGAAACACTTGCTTAACACCAGACTCTGGTCAAAAGCAGGCCACCAGGTTATGACCACTTCCTAAGACCCAATATCACAAATTCACAATAGTACTTTGAAAAGCAAAAGGCCAAAATGGTGGTGTAGTTAGTAAGAAGGCTGGAAGACCTGGGTTCAAGACCCTGTGTCAGCATGCATCCGTCCAGCTGACCCTGACCCTCTGTAGCACACTGTGAATTCTGACATCCAGGAAGTAACAAGAGAATTCCACTAAATTGTATTGGAGATTGTCATCATTATTGTTAAGGAAATGTTCTTCAACAGTGGAAAAAGTGCAGCAGATCTAAGATTAAAAAAAAAAAACTTGCATTATGACACATGAAACAAAGTTGAGTGGTGTCTACCTCCTACCTCCACTCTGACTGGGAACATTAGCACAAGTCAGACTGAAGAGCAGAAAGCCTGACAGTGAGACCCACTGTGAAAGTGGATACTGTAAAAGCTAGAAATACAGTGGAGAAGGCAGGGAGCTTAGGGGTAAAGGGTGGCTGCTGTCAGGCTGAAAGCCCAGATACGTAATGTGGATCTCAAAACCAATCGGCTTCATAAGAAGTGAATGTATGCATTTGTATGAGATGTGGAGGAGAAGCCAACAGAATGAGCATATTTTATTTTAGTAGTCTGTGTTTGCATTATGTCATTTGTGCACCTGAGTTGGCGCCTGCTGGACGCACTTAATGGCCGGGGGGCGACTAATAGTGTCACACATTTTTGCAAGTGTTTATCTTGCACAGTGGGCAATGCTTGTACTTCTTTCTCTGTCAAGAAAACACTGATTACTTATGTGCTGTGTAGAGAGTGTGTGTGTGTGTGTGTGCATACCAGTGACCCTAGGGGCCTTGACATGTCAGCAACAGGCATGTAATCATTGTGAGCCTGCTTTGGTCAAAATTGTGTACTGTAAACTTTACATTAGCCGTCTTTACACACCTCATTAGGACAGCTCCATAACCGGTCACCCTCACATTTTGAACACACATCCAGCAGCCCACTGCTCATTCTCCCCTGGGTGTGACTTGGCAGGGAAACAGAGCCTTAATGCAAACCTGAGCTGACATTAATGGTGACTGTTGAAATTTCTTTAACACAATTTTCTGTACAGTTGTTTATCTTTTTTAAATTCAGATCAAGAACCTTTGTTGTCAGGTTCAAACAAAAGAGAGTTGTAGTGTCAACCTTAATATGGACATGACTGGAGATTGTGCTGTAAGTATATATGTTACTCTGTAAGGCTGGATTTTGGCAGTTTACTGCTGACACTCCGAAGCACTCAAAGCACTGATGACAGGACAAGTAACCAACCAACTAGTAGCACACTTTAAGGAACATTTCCTTCACATGCTGACCAAAAAATTAAAGAATATTATTTCACTATCAACTAGAAACACATTCTGACTTGTTTAAAAAATCATTTTAAAGGCTTTACTGTTCTATAATCCTAAATAACACTGTTGTTTAAATGGCTGCATTTGGTATAGTAGTTTTTACCATATGAAATGTCATAGTCACATACATACAAATTTCTGTGAGATGAGATTTGTACTTTATTAGAAGTGTTTTCAAACATCGTGGTCTACTTTTACAAGAGAAAAGATTTTAATGGTTACGACGATGTATTGCACATGTGCGTCCAGTTTATTTGCTCATCTCCGTTAAAGTGTAACACACAGCCATTTACCGACTGTTTCTGCGACATGCATCCATCCAACCAGGACTAGGAAGCAAACAAAAATGCGACTGGAAAACAACGTGCTATGGTTAACTGATGGGAGAAGCTCAAACCCGTTGGTAAACTAGGTCATAACCATGTCTCCGAAGAAAACAGCCTATAAGAGCATTGTTTCAACAGAAATACAAGTGTGCTGCCTGGTCTAATTATTCCAACAAATCCACATGGCAGCCCGATATTATATATCAGTTTAAATAGATCGCACTTTAAATATTGCATCATATGCAGCTATCTTTATTTTTAAATGCTCTGAAATATGTTCCTGTCACTCTTTTTCATTTAAATATTGATGTTAATGTGGTCAAAATCATCAGTCAAGCTCATGCCAGTTGATTTTCTGACAGTCTAGGCTATATATTAAAAAAAGAACACAAGCCTCAACAGTGTCCCATGCTGCTAATCTGACAATGACATGGTGCAGGTCGACCTAGTGGCTGACTGACCACTGGGCACATTTCTGGAAAAGACACAAATCCTCGACACCACCACTTGTCAGCCAGAGACCATCTTTAGTTGCAGTCCAAACCCACAGCTTGGCAAAAGTCCTGAGAGCTAACTAGCAAGACACCTAGCACTGAAATGTAATGACACCAGGGTTGGACAGCTTTGCTTGAAATAATGTCCAGCCCTGTCCAAGATCAACAGTCCACACAGGAATGGAGGCACCACATAAGCCACAGACACTCAAACAATCTCTGGCCAATCTCTGGCCACAGTAAAAATCGCAGACTCTGAGAATGCCACTTTGTCCTCAGTAATTTATGCCTGCTCAGGGATTATTGGTATGATTGACAGGAAAAGGTCAGACCTACAGTACCACTGGTGAAGCTGCTAATTTCCTCATTTCCTTAAATTTGTATTTATATTTGAATTCTCTACAGATGAAGTGCCAAAACCTCCCCTCACACAATCTGACCTCTGAAACAGTGGACAGAGGAAAGGGCATGTAAGAAAGCACTTTTTTCTTTGAATTTGATCATTTGTGTTGGTTTTTACTTCACTGCATGGCACCAACTCCAACTATGACCTCACTAGAAGTCTTAAGCCGTCTCTCTACATTCACATATCCCTCTTTCCTCCTCTACTTGTCTGTCAGTCTCTCTCCAATTTTAATGTACAGTACTCCTTTCTCTTCTGGTTGCTGCATACAGTCACCAGCCTCAGTTCCTCATGTGGGAGCTGTAGGAATTTGACTGCATGGTCAACTTGTATCCCACAGCACAAATGCTTCATCAATATACATAGGAGCCTGAGCAAAGAGAGATTTTTTAAAAATAATGAGACAGAAAATGTCTTTCTGGCTATGAACATATGCAGAAAATCATTCAAAACTTTCAAACTAACTTCCACTCTCCCCACGCCCAGTGCTAACCCCACCAGCCCAGGCCATTGGAGTCTGCCGGTCTACTTTCTACAGTGACTGCACTCTTGCTGCAAAGCTCACACGTTTCAGTGCACAGTCTCAGTGAAACCAGACCAGATGTTAATGCAAAATTCATGGGATCATCCAGAACAGCATGTACAAAGAACTTGAAGATCTGAGTTAAAGCTCAAAGTGGCAGGTCAGTATGTTAAGTAATGTAAAAAATATTTGCAACGGCAGAACACAAACGTAGAAAAATGCTGTTTCTTTTAGTTTACTTAAAATAATAATGAAAACAGTAGAGAGGAGCATTCCATGGTTGTACCTGCATCAGGATCCTGATTCAAACGAGCATAACAGGAGTTCTCCAGCCTGGGTAGGCACTGCTCTATTGGTACCCAGACATAGGTCTCTGGGCACAGGAGGTCTGAAGGCCGGTAATTCCCCTGGGGAATGAAAAAGAGAGAGAGAGAAAGAGAGGGTTAAACCTCATGCTAAAACAATGTTTTATTGGTTATTACTGAATTGATCCACAGAAAATTTCAATTTCAATTTTATTTGTATAGCACCAAATCACAAAAGTCAGCTCAGGACACTTTACATAGTGAGGTCTAGCCCTTACTACAACTACTATTATTATTATTATAATTATTAATATAGAAAAAAACTAACAAATCCCCCTTGAGCAAGCACTTGTCAACAGTAGGGAGGAAAAACTCCCTTTAACAGAAGAGACCTCCGACAAACCCCGGCTCCTGGTGGGTGGCCTTCTGCCTTGACCAGTTGGGGTGAGTGGATAGAGGAGAGACAAAAGAAGAGCAACACATCACAACAAACACATCAACAGGGAGAAGCTAATATGGGAGAGAGGTGATCTCTCTTGCTAGTTCCTGTCAGTACTCTGGTTGCAGCATTTTGGATTAACTGGAGGCTTTTTAGGGAATTATTGGGAGTTACAGTAGTCCAGCCTGGAAGTAACAAATGCATGGACCAGTTTTTCAGCATCACTTTGAGACAGGATGCTCCTGATTTTCGCAATATTGCGCAGGTGAAAGAAGGCAGATCTAGAGACTTGGTTTATGTGTGATTTAAAGGACATATTCTGGTCAAAAATGACTCCAAGGTTCCTCATAGCAGTACTGGAGACCAGAGCTATGTCATCTTGAGTAACTATATGGTTAGCCAGCAGATTTCTAAGGTTTTCAGGCCCAAGCACAATAAGTTCAGTTTTGCTCATTCAGAAGTAAGAAATTACAGGTCATCCTTTATGTCTTTAAGACATGTTTGAACTTTGACCAATTGATCTGATTCATAGATAAATATAACTGAGTATCATCTGTGTAGCAATGGAAATTTATGTTGTGTTTCCTGATATTGCCTAAAGGGAGCATGTACGAAACTGAAGTGTTGTATCCAGCAAAAAGCTTCTGTAATCAGTAAATGTAAAGATTTCTTGCTTTTTTAAAATTGCCATTACCAGACAAAACAAGTAATCTAAACATATCCTCTTGGTTTGAGAGCATTAATTATTTAAAGACATTTCATTTTTCACTGATGGAATCAAAACAATCGACAGAATAATCAATAATGAAAATAGTTTGTTGCAGTAACATCATTTCACACTATGCTAGTGACGCTTTGCGGTTAAATGTTTGACAAGTTGCAAACTGACCTCAGGGTAAGGATGAGGGTTGACACCTGGATCAAACTTGGCTCTGTTTAAGTTCTTTGTTTAAGCAGTGTTAGGTCATCTGCAATGTTGAGCAGGAATTGCAAACACACCAGCATATTGTAACGTGTTTTTGTGAAATGGGTACAAGTCTGTATTTGACCTAACATTTTGGATGGAAGTTAGGTCAAGCTGAACAAAAACTGTTGCAAGACAAAGAAAAAAAATGACTGAGGGGTTAGGAGAACAAACAGGAGGAGAGAAAGACTCCATTATCAGCAAACTGCATTCTCCCATGACTCCAAACAAATGCAAACTGCTCAGACAGCTCTGTAAACAAGCAGACGCCTGCAACAGGCCTGTTGCATGGTATCAACAAATAATATTTACATTTTATGATGCTTTAAACTGTAGGACAAAGACACCAGTATCTCATGAACATGCTTTTTAATATACAACTGAGGTCAAAAGTGCTGCGTGATTGAACTTACAATGAAAAGAAGGAATGCAGTTGTTAAAAGGAACTCAAAATAAGCAAGACAAAGGAAATACCATTAGAAAAACGGTGTTGTTACACAGGCACTCTGACCATGACCCATCTGTGGGTTTATATGGAAAATATGCTGCCTGTTCTTACATGCGCGATAGGGTGTCATGAGAGTGAACTCGCCCACTTTTTGCCTTTGAAACATTACAAGGAGAAGGAAAGGGGAATACAACAATAGTCCGACACAAGACAAATGCCAGAATGTATCACTAAATTCAGACAGCCATGCAAAACAGGCCGAGTCTGAGGTACAGGTTGCACTGGGGAAAAGCAGAGTGAAGCAGAAGACTCAAAACACACTTTAAGTGCTTTTGCTAACAGATGGATGGTGGTGGAATGCTATGCATCCAAAGCTGCAATGGGACACACACATCAATCGGATGCTCTCCGTGTCCCAACAATCTACGGCCTTGTACAACTGTCAGCGCAATCAGCTTGACACTCTCACACTCTATCTCATGTCTATACACTCATTCAACACTGCAGCGGGGCACTCCTTTATATGCAGACCACACACCTGCTTGATATAGGCCCCTGCACCTCAAATTAATCTGTCTGCATGGGGGGTGGGAAGAGGGACAGAGGTGTGACTGAAGAAGTGAGCTTCTAGAGAGAAAGAGTGAAATAGAAGAAGAATGACAACAAGCAAGGACAGACCAGATCATTCCATAAAGAAAAGCTGCTATGTTTTCAGTGGATTCCTGAATGATATTTCCAGTCCTTTGCTGTGAAGTTTCAGCAGAAAGAGAGGCCTATCTAACCATAATGAAACCCAGAGTCTGATCGTGGCACGTGTACAATTCATCAGTTCTCTCTCTGAACAGATAAAAGGATGCATAAAGGGATGAAGAGTATGAAAGGACACAACCATTAGTGGTTTGGACAGAAGAGAGAACAAAGAAGAAAGATACTTGGTTTGCCACTACCTAACTGTCAGCTTCTTTTCTTTATTGGACTGAAAGAGAAGACTGAGCTCACCGCTGACTTTCTTCATTTTCCCTCTTCTTTGTTTCCTTCCCTAGGCAGACTTGAAGGCTCCGTAATTCACAGCTACCCCCACAGCTTCTTTGGCTCATCTTCAGCCCAGTATTTTCTACTGTTGCATCAGCTTGCTCACAATATCCATCTTTTTATCTTAACAGTTACTTGTACTGGCAGAGAATGCAGTAATGGTTTCCTGAAACCTAGAGCCTGAGAGAGAAGACTGATGTGCAGAGTGTGACCAATCTAATAGCTGGAAATAAAATGAGCCATTACCACAAATCCATGTTCATGAGAGGCTGTTAGCTCAGCAAGTGGCCACAGGAAGTGACAGTGAATGGCCACAGAGCAATATGATGAGGTTCTTTGTGTATATATGTGTGTGTTTTTGAACGTGTCTGGTCAACTACAGTATAGGGCTACCCGGCCACTCCACAGATAGCCAGGATGAGGCTTTCCAGATGAAGAAAACACTTCTGGCTTGGTCCTCCTCTCTTCAGTGGCTCTGTTTCTCCCTTTCTAAGTGCTCAAAGCCTCCCACACCGAACCAATCCGTCATCATCTATCCCTCCTTTTTGTGCTCACGCGTTCAGAGAGATGTGGAGGTGATGGCGCTCGCTGACAACCTCTGAAAGGCTCTTTTAGACAGAAGGACAGACAAAAGTTGAAAAAGTGAGTAGAGAAAGAAGGGAACATGCACAAAGCTCTGCAGATAGACTTGGCTGCCATGAAAGGGAAGGACAAGAGAAAATTAGGTACAGGTGAGTAAAGTGATGGTATTTATCATCACTGAGACACGGAGTGAGGCGAGCTGATGGAAGTGATAGGAACGGTCTGAGCGCCAAGACAGAGGGGCCCAGCACTGAGAGAGGATGTTTGAAGCAGGAGGTGAGATAGACACAAAAGAAAAATAGATGTGTGAGGAGAAATAAAGACCTGCAAAGAAGAGAAACTTTAAATGGAAACCATACATTCAGAAGTGAGCAAACACTCTCAGTCATTTAAATGTATTGTTTTGCTGTGTATTTGGTTAAAGAATATGCAGAGGTCCCTGTTCACAGGAAAGCAGTCTTCTATGGTGTCGTTTTCCCAGTGAACTGAACTTTAACGGAACAGAGAGGCAAATTACTCAACCTTATTTCAATAACAAGCTGCTCCAGTGTAAACAATGACACAACCTCAATCATCAGACATAATAAAACACATATCTCCACAGGGCTTGAAATGAAGTCACACAATACTCTGTAGATCTACTGTCACTGCAAGCCCCATGGCAACACAACAACAGTCTTTTCATGCCATATAGACTTTACTTACATATACACAGCATGAACCCTGTTGTCAGAGCAAACTGTGTTGCCAACTCAGCAAGTCAAACACACAACCGTGACCTTGTTCAACTCCTTCATTGTGCACCCTTTCCACCATTTCTTGTTTTCTCACACATCTCAAGATAGGGAGCGATGTCCCGGACCCATACTCATGATATATTTGAAAAGCAATTAATCAGGCACATAAATCATGTGCTTCGCTGCAGCCAAGGAATCCTTGTGAAAATCTACACCTCTTGTGCCTTGTGCTTGTTGTGTTCTTCCCTGCCTGATGAAAAAGGCAGACACACGTGTTTGGTCTATAGTCTAGAGTGGAGACTTGATGCAGCTTTTATCAAGTGAGAGACCAGCAGCCAGAAGAGTCATCTTCAGATTCTCCAAAATAATGGACAGAGAAAAAATTCTGACTCAGCTTATTACCAGTTACAGAGTTCATTACAACTAAAATATTTCACTACTAATAAAAGGCCAGTCTATAGGACAGATCAGAACATGTCCTTGAGAGCATAGGAAGTGAAGGGTTTGATGCTTCTGGTGACAACAAAATGGGTTTGTGTGGAACAAAACAAATGAAGACCTCTGTAGTTAGAATGAGAAGCTATTAATCTATCAATCAAGTTCTAGACGTATTTCAAAGATACGCAAACAGGACACACCTGACCCCAGGATGGAGTGCCATGGCAGGGGTCTGAACACATTTGTAAATGAGCCAATTTGCAGTTTGAATTTTTAAACTGCAAAAATTTCTGAAAACATGTTTTCACTTTGTCTTTATGGGTTACTGAATGTAGACTGATGGGCAACAATGGCAATTTAATCAATACAAAATTATATGTAAAATGCAATAAAGTGAACACTTTCTGAAGCCACAATATTTTTTTTCTTAGCCGTTCTTATATTCTTTTTTTTTTTTAGCTT